TATAAATATTCCTGTTCCTTTTAACTTTTTTGAATTCTTTAATATGTTAATTTTATCTTTATAGTTCAGGAGTTTTATCACGACTGATCTAGGTTTACTCTGCCCGATTTTTCCGGTTCTATGCGCCCTTTCGACTTATACATATACATTACATACAGACTTATACTTATACATATATATATTTATATATATATCATATACAAATATACATACATATATGCAAGGCCGTTCTGATAAGGTCTTCCATGGAAGAGGCGGGAGGGGGAAATTGTTTGTATTTCTGCCTACTTGAGACAAAAAAAAAAACAAGGTCCCCAATATATGCAATTTGCGTTCTATAATTCAAAATTTAACACCTTGACAACCATCTCCCCCTTCTTTTAGGACGCCATGGATATATGCATATATATGCATATATATACACATACATACATACATATATATATATATATATATATATATATATATATATATATATATATATATATATATATATATATATATATATATATATGTATATATATATATATATATATATATATATATATATATATATATATATATATATATATATATATGTATATATATATATATATATATATATATATATATATATATATATATATATATATATATACATATTTACAAGTATATTTACATATATGTATATATGTTTTATAAATAATTTTTACTCAAAGTAAATATAATGTGAGCCATTTCTTTTTTGTATACTGAGTTACTTTTTTATTGAGTTTTTTGTATACTGAGTTTCTTTTTGTACATTTTGTACATACTGAGTACATTTCTTCCAATACTTTTTTTCTAAAAGTAAATTCCATTGATGCTATAATTTCTTTATTTTCTTTAATACTATCTTATTAACACAAAAAGTCTTAACTGAGTGTAATATAACTATCTTAACTGTGTTTACATTCCTATATTAACAATTTTCGTTAAATCTTTATTAAAAGTATCAAGTTTTTATTTATAAAATACTAAAAATCAAAAGTACTATAATTTATTTTTTTCAATTATAGCGCTTGCAAAAGCACATCTGCTCACGAAGAAAGCATCAGGCAAAAGTTTGTATTATTTATATTATAAGTTTGCATATATTTGTATTATTTTTAGAATACACTAATATAGTTTATATATATATATATATATATATATATATATATATATATATATATATATATATATATATATATATATATATATATATATATATATACATATATATATATATATATATATATATATATATATATATATATATATATATATATATATATATATATATATATATATATATATATATATATATATACACTAACATATATATATATATATATATATATATATATATATATATATATATATATATATATATATATATATATATATATATATATATATATATAAATATATACCCTAACTTATATATATATATATATATATATATATATATATATATATATATATATATATATATATATATATATATATATATATATATATATATTTATATATACACTAACATATATATATATATATATATATATATATATATATTTATATATTTATATATATATATATTTATATATACACTAACTTATATATATATATATATATATATATATATATATATATATATATATATATATATATATATATATATATATATATATATATATATATATATATATATATATATATATATGAATTTACATTTTTAAAAAAGTAATTAATTTTTATGAAACGACTTTTTCCTTTTCAAAGTAAGTATTTTTACCTTCAAAAGTAACTTATGTAAAAACAGATTACATCAAAAAGTAATTTACTTTTACAAGTAAAAGTCTCATAAAAAAGCATTTTACTTTTACAGATAAATAATAATTACTTTTTCAAATTATATAACATAATTTAATAGTTTCTCAAAATGTAATTTACGTTTACATATAAAAATAACTTATTAAAAAAATACCGTAATTGTAAAAAAAAAATTTATATGAAAAAGAATTACATAAAAGTAATAGGCAACTAAATATAAATAAAATTTACTTATAAAATAATATTATATAAATTGTCAATTTTCATTAAGTAAGTAAAAAAAAATTGTTGTAAAAAATAAATTATATAAAGAAAAAATTCTATTACATAAGCTTATATTTTATATAACTTTTAAATTTTTTTTTTAAAACTTAAAATAATTTATATTTTATAAGTAAGTAAATTTACTTATATTCTAAAATAAATTAGAGTGGATATTGTGCAACTGCAGTTGCACAATATCCAATATCAATGTTTCACTCATGAGTGAAGTGCAAAAAGTACAACTTGCATCAAAATAACTAACATTTAGTTTTTGGCGACTTTTTTTGTGAGTGGTTTTGGCTTTTTTTTCTCTTGTAAATTTTGATTTATCAGTATTTGATTTATAGGCATCAAAATGCTGCCGAATAAAACCATTCTTACTCCCGGTCCATGACTATATTAGGCAGTACTAGACTATGTGGTAGTGGGTAGATTTAGGCACCGGCCATTATATATTCAAAAGGACTGTATTTTTAAATTCTTAAATCACTATAGATGTTGCAGCACTCAAAAAAAGGAAACTTCTTTAAATAATCCCCGGGAAACAAATAATCTTAATCCGATTATGGGTTTAGCTATTAAAACTATTTTTTGCTTACTACAGTATGCCAAGATATGATAAATATGTATGTTTGAAGAAATTTGATCTGACATATGTCGTGTCATTTATGGTATAATATTAGAAGCAATTATTGATAATTTTATAGAATGCTTCCGTTACAGTTGCTAGATTTTTCCGCTAAAAGTTTATTATTAAATTTGCTTCACGAGAGACGCATCAATTTTCAATGGGATCGAATGTTTGAAGGCTTTAAAAAATAATATGACTAGTAATTAAAAAGATACTCTTAAAAAAGAAACGTTATAATATACATCAAAAAAATTAAAATAAACCTAGTGATTCTAAAGTTGTTATAAAAATACAACGGAAACGCTAAAAGACATTATTAAAAAAGTATTAAACAAGATACGGTAAAATAAACTATAGTTTAGTTCATTTAGTAGCCTATAAGAAGCTGTTGCAGTTTTCAGAAGTCTAATTTTTTTTATAGGTTTAAATTAGTTTCAAATGAGTGAAAACCAAATTTTTCATTTGTTTTAAAAGACTATTTTAAATCGTCTATCGTCATCGTCCTTCTTTAAGATCTTTAAGTCAGCGTGGTAACTATTAACAATAACTCTTACCCAAATGAAAATTAAATTTTTTTAAAGATCTGTTCATAAAATTTTAGTCTTGAATAGAGTAAAAGAAGCATCATTGAAACAACATAAATTACTGAAAAAACATCATTGTAGCCACATAAGCTACTGATGGCGGACAGTCTACTGCCCATCTTCACGTTAAATTTTAAAGGAAATTATTTAAAAAATAAGAAAATTTTTTAAAGACTATTTTATTCGAATAAGTTAGAATTTTACTTGGGCGGCTTAGCCACCAAAGCAACTAAAAAGAAGGCTGTTGCCATAAATCTTCTTTTCAGTAACTTAGGTCCCCAAGTAATAATAAAAGCTGTGTGCTCCATAATTTGTGGTGCACAGATCTTTTAGTTTATGGTTAACCGGTTTTTCTTGCCCTTAACGGATATTGCTTTATAGCATTTAGTTTATCTCCATAACATTTTATTGACCCCTATTTCCCAATATTAGGCAACAATATTGTATCCCCCTCCTAAAAAAAGTTTTTAAAAGTTTTTTAGGGAAGGGAGGTACAGAATTTTACAAAATACAAAACGATTTTAATTATAATAATTGGCCTTTGAATAAAAATGAGCAATTGCTTTTACTAAATAATTGATCAGCTTTACGGGAATAAAAACTTCAGTAATTTTGCTTAAGTTTTTGATATTACTCAGAGCAACGAATCTTACAAATCTTAATAAGATTTTCACAAATCTTAATAAGATTCTTAGTAAAATTAGTAAGACTACTAAAAAATTTCAAGCATATTTTCGCTTAGAGAATGCTAATATATTAAACAGTTAAGTGCTTTAATTAATTTTTTCTCGAAACAAATTCATAATTAATAATACAACAGAGCTCATGTTAAGGGGTCGTCCATAAATAACGTCACGCTTAGGAGGGGGAAGGAAGACGAATTTGTGACGATTTGTTACGAGGGGGAGGGGTGATCTCGTTTTTGTTACGCAATATTTTTTTTTTTTTAGAGAAGACTTTCTTTTAATTAAAAGAGTATTTAACTAAACCAAAACCCTCAGTTGATGTATATACATGTTGATTATAAAATCAACTACGCCTAAATCTTACTTAGTCGGTGTACATCCGTTAGCGGAGTAGTTCCAGCCTGTTAACGGACTGTTACGGCTTAATGTGCAGTGCACGTTCTGCGCTTTGAATTTATATGGGACATCGATTTACTAACCGAAGGCAGAATCCACTCGGCCACGCTTACAATTTTGGTTGAAAAAAAATTTTATTTATAAAATGATATTTTTGAATGAATTATATGTTATTATTTTTTATATATTATATATATAATATTTCGCATGTATTATATGTATATATATATATATATATATATATATACATATATATATATATATATATATATATATATATATATATATATATATATATATATATATATATATATATATATATATATATATATATATATATATATATATATATATATATATATATATATATATATATATATATATATATATATATATATATATATATATATATAGTGACTTCATAACCGAATAATTCTTATATTTGTTAATGTTTGCATTTTGATTTAATTGTATTATTTTATTTCGATATTCTACATTAAAACGTTTTAACCAAAAATTGAAAACTAATCAAATATTTATAATATTTAATCCAATATACTTTAAATTACAATAAAAATTGTTAAAAAATATATTTTTAATACACTATACTCAAGCTAGTACATTTATATAAAACACGCATATATATATAATAGATGTTTAAAATAAACCAATGCCAAGATTTTAGTTTTTGGTCGCTAGTTTTGGTTTGGTAGGTTTAAATAGGTTTTGGTTTTGAATTCTGTTGTTACTCGTACACAGGTTTGCCCTTTAAATCTGACACCATGCTGTCAACTCCTTAAAGATTAATATAAAATGAAATAAGGAGAATATGGAAACTTAATAACATACCTTGTATAAAACCAAAACAAAATGCTACTGATAACACAATAAAAAATGTTTTTGGTAATTCATTATATATAAATTTCTATTCTAAATTTTGTTACTTTAATTATCTCTGATATCGTTTTCTAAAGATAAAGTTAAATGGAACAAGTAAATTACATCTTTATTAAAATGAAAATTAAAAAAAAAAGTATAAGATTACCTTGACATTATCTGATAACTGAAAGACTCCATACATTTCACATACATCAATACCTACCAGAAGCAAAAAATAAGGTCTCTAACCTTTTAAAAACTATGATAAATCAAAACAAGATTAAATATGCAGACCAAAAAAAACGCAAGCAACTATATAAAAAAAATTAATTTTACAACTTGTTTAAACTTACAGCGTCATAACACTTGTCACATGATTAAAATAACTAAATCTAAAATAATTGTGATTATAGAATGTAGTAGAATAATAGTTAAAAAAGTGTGATATAAACTTAGTCTTAACTAAACTAAGTAAATATGCATGCAATAAGAAATGCAAGTTAAAATACAATTTTTTTAAATTTACTAATTCAAACTTACAGTGGGATATCACAAGCCACGTGTCTAAAACAGCAAACTCTAAAATAATATTAACACGCCAGATATAAACTTATTATTATTATTATTTATAGTTGAAACTCAACTAAATAAATATGCACGCCAATAGAAATGCAAGTTACAACATGAATTTTACAACCAATTTAAACTTACAGTATGACAGCTTATACCAAGTGTCTAAAATAGCAAATTCTGAAATAATATAAACAAACCATACACAAACTTAGTTGTAATCTAATTATATAAACATGAACGTCAAAAAAAATGCAAGTTAAAATATAATTTTTTTTTAATTTACTAATTCAAACTTACATTTGGATACCACATACCACGTGTCTAAAACAGTAAATTCTAAAATAATACAAATACATCAGATATAAACTTAGATTAAACTCAACTAAATAAATATGCAAGTTACAATATAAATTCTACAACCAATTTAAACCTACAATATGACACTAAATGCCGTGCCTCTAAAGCAGCAAATTCTAAGATAGTATAAATAACTTATATATAACCTTAGTTGTAACTCAATTAAACAAACATGAATGTTAAAAGAAATAGAAATTTCAATAAAAATTTTTTAATTTTACAACTAGTTTTAAATTACAGTGGGATAACAAATGCCATGTGTCTAAAACAAAAAAATCTAAAAAAATATAAACACACCAGTAAACTTAGTTTAGGATATTGGATGCCACATGTTTAATTTGCAAACTAATAAAAATTGCAATTTATAAAAGCATATTAACTAGCCATGTAAACTTAGCTGTAACTAACCTAAATAAATATACCTATCAAAGATGTTAACATTTTTAATTTTACGACTGATTTAAACTAATATGGTATGTTACTACATGTCATATGTCTAAAATGTAAAGTTAAACAAGACTATGAATAATCCATTTAATCTATATTATAGAAATAATTGTTCAACTAAACCTTTACTACTAGTAAAGGATTAGTTGAACTTTTATTTCTATAATAGAGACTATATGGATTGCATATATTCTTGCATAATTTTCTAGATTTAGACATGTAGTAACTTACCATATATGATATTTATTAACTTACCATATATGTTATTATATATTATTTAGTAATACTAATGGCTTTTAATTTAAAATAAAATAAACTTTATTGTTAAATTTTCTATATAAAGCTTTATATGCAAAATTTAAAATAAATTAAATAACCTTCGAAATTAAAAATAGCAGAGCGTAATTTAAATTATATTTATCCATTTGCTTTGTCTACTAAATGTAAAGCTTTTCTAAAAATGGCATATTACACTTACTACAACCAACATTTTATCTATGATGTAAATGTTAATGTGAGAAAAACGCATTCAAAACTTTATCACTTTCAAAATAAAAAGCTATATGAAAACTGAGAATTTTTATTTGACAGATTAGAATATTTAATCCGCTGAATTAACGAAATTTCAAAGAATCCGTAAATAGTTGGTTTTACTCCGTTAATTTTCTTGTTTTTGGTAACGAATTAATCCGTTAATTTAACGAAAAAGCGCAATCCTTTACTTTTTTTAACGGACTGTTTTTAGAGTGTATATATATATATACATATATATATATATATATATATATATATATATATATATATATATATATATATATATATATATATATATATATATATATATATATATATATATATATATATATATATATATATATATATATATATATTTATATATATATATATATATATATATATATATATATATATATATATATATATATATATATATATATATATATATATATATATATATATATATATATAATATATATATATATATATATATATATATATATATATTATTTATGGATTAATTAAGGATTAATTATGAATTTATTAAGATTATTCTAAACAACATCCACATTATTTTATGAAAACGAAAATTAAATTTATTTATAAAATTATAAACAAATAAAAAGAAAATTATTTATATTTTTAAAAATAGATATCGATTATTGATAAGAATACATATTGATTAGGATACATTTCAAGTAGATACATATTGATACATATCCAGCAAACATCAAGCAGGCGGACCGATAACGGACCGCTGTCAGCACTTATGGCGTGCCGACGTCGGCCGCCCGCTGCTTTGCTGCGTTGGCTTGCACATCGTGTTTACATCGGTCCGTTAGCGGAAAACTGAAGGCGGTTCGACAGCGGACCGATGGCGGCAAATCGACAACGTTTGAACAATGATCCGTCAGCGGCTAACCGATGATAAAGCCATAGCGGAATAGCGTAGGATCTATAATAAGTTTTGACTAAGATTTGAATGCATTGCTATAAATATAATTATTTTTGTTTTTTTGTTTAAATAGAACGCACTTATCGTTAGCAAAAATATTTATATCTTTCAGCTCAAATTTTTACTCATAAAAAAATGCAAATCCTGCCAATGCCTGGAAGACACATCAAATACCTTTTGACTTTGTGCATAGGTATATAGAAAAGATACGAATTTATTATACTAAAATTATCCTTACACCGAAAAACACTGCCCCAACTGTAAATCATTAGGTCATACGTGGCAAGGCTTAAGCTCGGTGAACAAAAAGACTAAACAGAAGTTATAATGAAAATCATTTTAAAATTGCAATTTACAATTACAACATGAATATAAAAGTAACAATAATTTTTTTTTAAACTAAAGCAAAATATAAAGTATATTTGCATCTATAGATTATTGCTTTACTTGCGTTTAGCGAACGCTTAAAATATAAAATAGTTAATTTTCAACATATCTATAAGTTCAGTTTATTCTCATTTCAATCGAAAACTAAATTTATTCAGGAAATCATGTGTTGAAAATTGATTTACGTTGCAGTCTGCAGACTTCTAACTTTCAACTAAAAGCAGGCAATGATATATAATGAAAATATTGAAACAGCCAAGTTTAGAGCTATTACAACAAAGATAATAAACTAACCTTCTCAGCCTTTAAAAACGTATTCGTTTGAAATAGTCTGATCACCAGTTATTGACAAATAACTTCAGATACTATGTGCATCTACTTTGAATAAATATAAATTTAATTTTATTATTTAAGCATAATTTAAAACATTAAAAAACAACAAAAGCATTGCTTAAATTGAAAAGCTATGGAAATAACTTTAAAAAAAGCTATATAAAAATAAAGTCATATTGCGTGTCTTTTTTAAAAAATAAAACTTTATATACAGTAACCTACCTGGTATACCTAATCCTATAAATATGCTTGAGGGGTTTATGAACAATAAAAATTGTTATTTCATTAAAAAAGTTATTGTTAATTTTAAATTTAATTTAACAAATAAAACAGTATTTTAAAATGAGATACTTATATGCCAGGTTGGAAGTAAAACCCACTGTAACTTAAGTACAATGGTGAACCTTTTGCAAAGCATAAGCCTTAGACACAAGTGCACATCTGAAAGAGAAAGAATCAGAGACAGAACACATCAATAAAAATATATTTTCATAAACTAAAATATAGTTTGCACATTGAACAAAGTTTTCACCATACAAAAAAAAAAAAAAAAAAAAAAAACATAATGCAATTTAATATACTATAAAAATTTTTTGAAAAATATAAAAAGTCAAATAATTGATTGAAATAAAATGGTTTAGTAAATAAGTATATAATTTTTTTTAATAAATTATTTGTAAGCATATAGAGAGCAAATAAATATGTTTAAAGAAAATATGATTTAAATCCAGTTTGCAAATCAAACAACTATCTTATACCCATGGCAATATTTGGATCATGGTCAACATAATTCTATGAAATATAACTCTGGTTGAGGTAAACGGTTTCCTGTAAAAAAATAATATTAAATCATAAATGTAACATTAAATTACAAACATGTTTGAACGGAATTCTTAAAGTAATCCTTTAAAATAATGGCTTGTAAAATAAAAATTTTGTTAGATTTTTATTCATCTGCTTCACCACTTAAATACCAAGTTAATTTAGCTTTCCATCATTAACTTTATATTTTAAAGCTTATAGTTATATTTAAATTTAATATAATCAAACAAATCAAACAGTAGACAGACTCCAGAACTTATATTTTGGTTTTTTTTCAAAAATAATATTAAAACAAATAATATCAAAATAATAAAATTAATCTTACTTTATTCTCTGGTAAGATTCAATACCACGATTTAAATTCTCATCTACAATCCTATTCATAAATGTTATGCAATATTTAATGTCATTAATTTGATATCTATTTTTTTTATTAATTTTTTTAAAAATATTCTTCAGCATATAATATACTAAACGATATTTTTGAAAAATTAAAAAAAAAAAAATAGATATCAAATTAATGCCATTAAATATTGCATAACATTTATTAATAGGCTTTATGTCCTTTATTTCCGTTTATAAATGATCTAGCTGGTGTACCACAAATAAAAGCTGATATAGCAAACTTATATACTTTACCATTAATACTAATACCAGAATCAAATAAAGCAGTACTTTCATGAACAAACATTTGAAATTCATTACAGTCTTTTGGTTTAGACCTACTATAAAAAAGACCGATTATAAATGGGGTTTTATTGTGTTGAATATTGCTTATCCACATTTTTTATTAAACCTAATATCGGCCAAAATTGGCCATTGCTGCTTTTAAACAATGGTAAATCATCAATGTTGACTTGAATTGATATGCAATCCTTTTTCTTTAAAAAACTTGAAATATTACTTAAAATACCCTGTCTAATGCCAAAATGACAATACTGTCCTCCAGTTATATTGGTACCAGGTACAAAAGACTTTGACGTAGAGTGCGTGGATCATTTGGCAAATCAGGAAACAATTTACCCAAAAATATTAACAAAGATGCTAATGCTTCATCGGTTATAGCAAACTTAACAGCCCACTGCATCAAATCATTTTTTAGTTCATCATTGTTAACATCATCAATTGTTTCAAAATCTGATGACTCTAATGGGTAAGATTCAGAATGAGAAATTGTTAAATAACTGTCAGAGTTCACTTCACAATCAATATTATTTGCACCTGAGGGAATAACACTCTCAGTTGAAAGTTTTCGATCTGATATACTCTTTAAATGCAATGATTGTACTTCTTTTGGTGAATGTGAAATATTGCTTGATATTGGTAATCATTTTGGCAATATTCAACATCAGCTATTATTTTTTGTCGTTTTGTCCAAAAGTTCACTATTGAAACTTACATAAATTGTTTTATGTACTAAAGCTAGTACATATTTAAAAATGTATATAATATATATGTCTGTGTGTGTGTGTGTATGTGTGTGTCTGTCTATATATATATATATATATATATATATATATATATATATATATATATATATATATATATATATATATATATATATATATATATATATATATATATATATATATATATATATATATATGAAGAGTTTGTTTTCAAAACGCGGTAAGCGCCAATTTCAAAAAAACTGCGTTAAGTGACTAATTTTGAAGAGAAAATTAAATCCTTTCAAGTCATATTTGCAACTAATTAATTAGGCATAATTTTTTTTTTTAATCTAGGCTCTAAAAATAATTTATTTTCAAAACGCGATATATTTTTTTTCGTTTATTTTCAATGTGCTGTATATTTTTTTGACCAATCCGTGCTTATATAAAGTTACTCCACGCAAGCGCAGTAAGCTTATTAAATAATAATAATAAAGATGGCTGATTTAGATGGCTTAGATGAAAGCGTTGTGTTAACGTTAAAATCACGAAAAAGAAAAAAACAATGTTCTGCAAGAGAGAAAAAAAAGTTATTTAGACATTCAAGTGGAGGAAAAATTTCTTCTATATCAGGTAATAATGTTTCAGGTTACTGCAAAGTGAGTTTTTTTGGTTTTATCGATCTTCGTATGTTGAAATTCATAATTCAGTTATAAGATTAAAGTTTTAATATACACAATGTAAGAATAATTGGCATAGTTTGTGTTTATGGCAAAATAATCATTTATTAATTGACTTATTTCAGGCTCGAGATATAACACAGGATATTTTGCTTAAACATCATACAGAATTTTATAGTATTGCAAGTAAAGTATCACAAGATGCAACCATATTGTCAATGCTTGATATAATCAATGTTAAAAGAGTCAGAGTGAAATATAATAATCAAAAAAAGTTAAGAACTATGAGTATTGAGTACTTTATATGCTGCGAGGGAATTAAAGTACGAGTTTGCAAAGCTTCATTTTGTTCAGTATTGTGTAAGTATAAAACTACTTTACTTTTAATTTAGAAATAGAATGTATATTTTGTTAAAAAAAATTAGTGAGAAAAAATTAATATTATATTAATTTATTCCAGCCATAAAACCTGATAGAGTTTTAAGAATTGCAAGACACTGGAATGAACATGGAACAACCAGACCTGAAAATAGAGGAGGAGACAGGAAGAAAGTAGCCTTTTCTCAAAAGAAAGAGGCTATTATAAACCATATTAAGTCTTTTATTTGCAGAGCAAGTCATTATGGAAGAAAAAGTACTTCAGGACGTAAATATTTGCCTTCTGATTTAAATGTAAAGCGGATGCGCGAAGTTTTTTTGGATAAAAACAATACTTATACTGTAGGCTACCATTATTATTATGGGGTATTTATGAACCATTTCAATTTAGCTTTTGGATACCCAGCAACAGATACATGCTCTACATGTCAAACATATAAGTTGGCTATGAAAAACCAAAATATTGCTGATGACCAAAAAAAATTAAAAACTGCTCTTTTCATTCTTCATCGAAGGAAAGCCAGAAAATTTTAGAGTCTTCTCAATGGTATTCATCCCAATGAGATCACTATCTGTTTTGGCATGATGGAGAACCTTGCACTACTAAAATTATCAATTGGAGAAGCCTATTATTCTAGGCAGGTTTATTTTTATGTCCTTGGCGTTATAGGAAAGATTCAAACATGATCTGTTCAGCTATAGAACATCTACTTAAAAATGTTTTAAAAGATAAATGTTTCAATGCCTCATCACTTCGGTTGTTTTCTGATGCATGCTATGGCCAGAACAAAAACATAAATATGACATGTATGCTTCTTGCTCTAAGAAAACAATATTTTGATAAACTGCAGATTACACATACTTTTCCGGAACGAGGTCACTCATATCTGCCAGCTGATCGTGTGTTTGGTCGAGTTCAGCTAGATATTAAAAAAAGAGACCAAATTTTAGAGCCTAATGAATACATAAACATACTTAGCCGGCATGGAAAAGTCATGGTTTATGGGCAGGATTGGTCAGCACTCAACTTCAAATCAGAAGTCAAAAAGTTTGTCATGAGCAAAAAAACATTTAAAATCAGTAAAGCTAAAAAACTTGTTATTAATTCAGACAAGCTAGAAGTAGTTGCATTTAGTTACCATTCTGAGCCAAAATTACACAGTATCCTTAAAAAAGGGAAGAAATGGGAAACATTTAGACCACAAAGTTTGGAATTAAATAACTGTGTTAAACTTGCTAAGAAAGACGATGTTTTTCGTCTTCTCGGTCTTGTAGGAGTAGAAGGCAGAATACTTACTATGTTTAAAATACTACTCTGTAATGCCACTGAAGATGATACTAACCTTAGTGAAGAAGATAGTTCATAATTTGATTTAAATGTTTTTTAGCTGTAAATTTTGTAAATATGTTAAGATACAAATGTTTAAAAAAATCTCCAGCATAACATGATTTATTTTGTTGTTTTTTTTAATTTACGTTATTCAATACAAGAATACAATAGTCATTAACATCTTATATATTTTTATAGTTGCATTTGTGAATTGTTTAAAAAAAGTTGCTGATTTATATCAAAAGAGAACAAGATTTTAAGGTAGATCTTAGAATGCATAACAAAATAATACGTTTTATTAATAAATATATTTTATTAATGAAATGGATATAAAACGTTTTGTTAAAAAATAATACTTGAATATACAACGTTTTGAAACAAAACAAAATTAACCACTGAAAATATACATCGATTTCATAAAGTTTGATTTCAGCATATATTGTAGTCTTATTAATAAAGTACATGTTTAACTAAATCAATAATAACTTATTCCAAAATACTTAATTTCTTTATGCAGGAAAAAAGATCGTATTACTCAAAACCCAAAAAATGGATTTACAGCGTTTTGAAAATGAGCACTTCATATATATATATATATATATATATATATATATATATATATATATATATATATATATATATATATATATATATATATATATATATATATATATATATATATATATATATATATATATATATATATATATATATATATATATATATATATATATATATATATATATATATATATATATATATATATATATATATATATATATATATATATATATATATATATATATATACACATATATATATATATATATATATATATATATATATATATATATATATATATATATATATATATATATTATTATTATTATTATTATAGTTGTAGCCGTAAATTTACATAGAATGTACACATACAGCGAGCAGGGGAAACACCCCACTATAAACAACCAGTTTTATAAATATTTGTTCCAAACTTTTTCCACAACCAGGAGTCTAGTCTATTTTTGAAAGAAAGTACAGTGGAGTACAAAGTTATTTGCTCTGGTAGATTGTTCCAGTATTTTGCTGATCTATTATACAAATGATTATATCTTGGAAGACAGTTTAGAACATACTCACGCCTTATTTTAGAATGGTGAGCACGAGACACGGAGTTAATATATTTTGGTAGATATTTATCAATAACTATATCAAAACGATGTATTAATTTAAAAATTTGGATTAAATCGCATCGAAGGCGTCGAAACTCAAGTGATGGTAGGTTTAATCTTTTTAGCCTTTCGCAGTATTGAAGATGCCTCAAGCTGTAAGCCCATTTTGTAGCTTTGCGTTGAACAGATTCAACCAAAGCCATATCAGCTTTTAAAAAAGGAGCCCAAATGGACACTCCATATTCAATATGTGGTCTTATAAATACTTTATATAATTTGAGAGCCATTTTTTCATCAATGAAAGTGAATGTCTTTTTCAGCATACCGAGAATTTGTAAGGACTTAGAGACAACTGTTTGAATATGAGCGCTCCACTTGAGGTTAGATGTAAAAATGACTCCTAAATC